CTTTACTTTCTGTTTTTAGTCATTTTCTTCTATTTTCTAAATATTTCGACAGAAACAAGAAAAAAAAAAGAAATTTGTGAGTGACCCCTTTTGAACAAATGCACACATAGCCAATCTTACTAAACTAAAATCAAAAACCATTCAGCGCGTTAAAAAGAACAAATGCAGACAACTTGGAAAACCTCCTTAATTTTGTCTTTTCAGTGAATTGTTGGGAATTCCAATGAGGTAATTACTGCATCAATTTCACAACACAAACAATTTACGTCACTATCCTATTTTTTTTATTTATTTGTCAGAATCGTGACGTCATTTGTGAATTACGCTGTCTACTTAATCTTAGATGTTAGTCGTGTATAAAAAAATAAAATTATCATACCTATGAGTGCCTCCGAGCACGACAAGCGTCTTCAACGAAGAATTATAGAAACAATCTACTAAATATTCTACTTCGATACCACGTTCCTATAAATTTAATAAATAAAAAAAAATGATTGATGTCACTTGGCTTCTTCCACTCAAGCTGAACTCGTTAAATCTCTCAATACAAGCACACCATCCAGTAACAGACACTTTCTAAACTCTATAGTTCAAAGATATATTTAAATTTAATAACAGGTTTAGAGTACAGGTTTCCACCCACCCACCCACCGACCTGAAAATGTGCAAAAATTTAGACATGTATCATATTAATGAGAATTCAGAGCAAATTCAAATTCCAACATCATGCTTGGTACACTGCCAAGGATTTCTATTTCTATTCAGAACACTAAAAAAATTGAGGGCGCACTTCAATGACCGAATCACTAGTAATCATCATATTCAAATCGCTGGGTGAATACAACTATCATGTTTCAACCAATTTTAACTGTGGTTATCTGTCTATTTTGGAAAAAAATAATAGATTTTTGCAATGCCAGAAATTAATTTTACAAAGAAAATAGGATGTTACATTCATTCATTCTTACAATTGGAGGGACATTCATTTATCTGTGGGAAACCTAATGGTCACAGTGTATCAGTGAACAAGGAATTAAACAGTATTTCAAACATTCAATTCACATTATCATGCACACTGAATCATCAAGGATGGTTAGAAACGATTATAAGTAGACACACATTTCAGTATTTTTGTTGTGGCTCTACTGTAAATGAGACAATTTCCTGAAAAAATACAAACTAATACTTACGCCAAGATTCTGTCGAATATCATCAAATTTTGTGATTCTTGTTGACTGCAATAACAAGATGACAATAGAATTACATTTTAGCCTTTTCTCGTCCTAATTTTTCTGCACTTTTTTCCTATAATTCTTCAATAATTCTATAAATGAATGCTAATTTAGGAGCCAACAAAAATTGAGTCAATTTTCAGCTTTTACTCAAAAAAATTGGCTATTTTTTTCACAATCTTCTGAAGGAAAGTGTAGACTATAAGCGGGACTATTTTGTGAATTTGTGATGAGAGGAGGAAACTGGTGGTGAAAAGGTTAACACAAGAGAATTATTGTTTCATACAATAATTTGCAAAGGCAAGTTGTATTTTATTTTAATTTTCATAAAATACTATACATGTATTTTTGATTTTTCATGAAAATTGAACCAAAACCTTGAAATGTCAATGACATTGTCCTTGTCTATATTTTGATGCTTTTAAATTTCAAGAAACAATAGGGAGAAGAAATAATGTCAAGGAAATTTTATTGAACCAAAAAATATATCCACAAGCATATGAAACCACTATGACTTGCCTTTATAGCTAATTGAAACATATATAATATAATAATAATAATAATAATAATAATAATAATAATAATAATAATAATAATAATAATAAAATAAAATGACTGCCAGTTAAATTAGCAGTCTGAGAATTCATATTGCTTATGTGATATATGTGATGGTTAGAATTTGCCCGAATTGTGGAAATAAAAAATAAAGGTTCAAATTTTAACATTTTTTTTATAACATCTGGCCATTGTTTAAATTAAATCATGTGTAGAATTTTTTTTGTTGCTAACACTTAGTGCTCTAGTGAATGGATTTACAAAGATTCATATGTTTCCAACTACTGTGGATGGCAGTAATTTGAAACAAAGTTGAATTCTGGTGAATTTAGATCATCAAATATTTCACATAATAGTCCCTAAAGTTCAATAAAACTCTATGAATTTTAAGATGTGATGAACACATTTATAAGTGATGCACATGATGACCTGAAACAGTTTATATTATTTTATAAATTCTCAAATCTATATTTTACAATGCAAACACATGTCACATTCAATATTTAAATTGAAGTTTATCATGTTTATTCTGTGCATGCAAGAAAATCTGCATATGAGGTGGTTCCGGGCCATTCCATGCATGCAAGTAGGTCCAAACTATTTCTTGCATGGGAGACGAGAGCTAGTATAGATAGAGCTAGCTAGTATTTACCTCCACTGCATCCCAGATCATGATTTGTTCAGTGTGCGTCAAACAATAAATGTATTCACTATTAGCACCACACCAGTCCATACGACTCTAAAATGAAAATATGAAACAATAACAGCATTGGTCATTATTACGAAATCTTACGAAAAATAGAAATGTCATAACAATAGAACACTGTACAGCACATGTGCATTTGCAGCCTATCTTTTTTCAAAACCCAAAAGTGTTAATTACAATGATTTGCCATGATTCAAACATTAGACAATTACTTCAGTGCCACAACAGTTATGTAAATACATCCATCGCTATTCTCATTTCTAATTACTGATTATTTGTCTGGATCAAACAACTGCCTTCTCAAACAACCTCATATATATTCATCAAGTAATATGAATCAAACAACCTTATGCATATTCATGAGGTAATATGCATCAAACAACGTCATGCATATTCATGAGGTAATATGAATCAAACAACGTCATGCATATTCATGAGGTAATATGAATCAAACAACGTCATGCATATTCATGAGGTAATATGAATTAAACAACGTCATGCACATTCATGACCTGAAATTTACAAATTACAAAACTCAAATCAAAGGCAATTATACACAAAATATTGTACTGGTATATACCAGTACCTGTACATGTACACGCATGCTACGATCATTGTTTGATTGAGATGTATATATACATGTATATACCGGAGGTCATTTTCTACTTTCTAGATGTCAATTCAAGAGTTATAGAAACACATTCATTGCTCCGAGTTTCATTCGATGTGGGTCACATGCATGCATACAATTGCTGTTTTATATTCAATACAGATATTGTCATCAAGCTAACATACCAAGACTTGAATCAGTTTAGATTAAAGAACGTACGATACTGTAAGAGTCTATGAAATCTAATACTTACGACTGAAGATTCTGAATTGAGGGTTGTAACGAGTGCATTTTCCTCGCTTCTTTGACTGATATCAAAAACACATACCAGACCATCGGTGGAACCCGTAGCAAGTGCATCTGCATTGGTGGGATGAAATTTGACCTGTAAATAAATGAAAAACCTAAAATGTTTTGACCCAAATACTATCCACGACTATAAAAACTGTTGAGAGATTTTGCAATCAACAAGATTCCATGTATCAATGGCATATATATACATATATATACCATATGTATATTGTTCTATTGCAGGCGCATCTCTTTATATTTATTATATGCTAGATTAACATATATCTCGTATTGCCCAGCCTTGTTGCGCTACGGGAAGTACACCCTCACATGAGAAGTTGTTTGTTTGACTTTTTCCTGTTCGATATGGGACTCATAGCAACGTATACAATGCGTGTAAAATACATTGCTTATTTACAAGAAATTCGAACATGCGCTGCGCAACGACCACCACGCTCTAATCATAAACACATAACACTTATGGTGCATACTACACATCATTTGGTTGGGGGGTGGGGTTGAGGGTGTTGTTTGTCAACTAAACACCGACAAAGAATAATGAACTGACATGTTACCTGTTGTATGACAAAATGATTGTGCTATCCAGCAGAAATAAAGCAGAGAGAATATCATGTAAGAGAGTTAACGACGTGGACGACAAACATTAATCTTGCGTTCACACACAATGTCAAAATGCTTTGATAGCATGCACACAACAAAGAGATTTTTTCAAAACAAAAAAACAATAGAAGATGACCATCAACAAAATTTACTATCTAGGGAAACCGAGATTTTGACAATATAAAGCACAAGTTCCAGATTCTGTACTTCTATTTTAATAGTATACTCACCATAGTGAATCAGCAATTAATGCAAAAACATTTTTTCTTTTCATGATGGGAGAAAATATTTTGGTCAAAACGACATTTAACTAATGTTTAGCAGAGCTGTGCTTTTTATTATTGTAAAAATTGTCAGTGACTGTTCAATACAACATTATCATCACTTTAACATTCAATTGGCCATATTTGGGGATTCGGTAGCGATGCAATTAGAGACTAGACAAAGGGAATGACACAAGGCAAGACAATGCAAAGCAAGCATGTTAATTTCAAATGAGAGTGTGTGAACAAGGTTAGTACGCAAACGGACTATCATAATAAACATGCAATCTACAAAAAATACAGATACCCAGCAACTCGACTGCATCTAATACGACATACTGCCCTCTAGTGTCAGCAGGGAACATTTATTTTGTTTAATTTTTTCGTAGTGGAGCCAAGTTACTGGGTACAAGGATGTTAACATAACCTAGTTAGCCTCTAAACATTTCAGGGGGTGGGGGGGTGAATAACAGGTTATTCTGATTGGATTGGATTGTTAGGATACAGTTGCACTGGCAGGGAGATAAAAATCTACAAAATGGATACCTACACCTGCCTAATATAGGAGGGAAGGGAGAAAAATGGAAACAAAAAGTTTTCAGTAATACAAGAAAAAAAAACAAGTTGTGTAGACTTGAATTATATACAGTGATGGTTTCCATGGAAACATAATTGTCAGTGAATTTTGAACAGCACATTATCCAATGTGGTTAAAATCTGATGCAGGTGTCACCTCAATTTATTTATTTTTTATTTACTTATATATATATTTTTTATTATTGTCATATTTTATTTGCTCTCATGTTTTTTTATCCACATCTACTGTTTTTTTGTTTTTATTTTAACCACTTAAAAATATAAATCAATAAAAAATATGGCAATTAAAAACAAACAAACTGAAGTCGACACCAACATCGGTTTTTAATCAGACTGATTATTATCTAGCAAAATTTTTCAAGTAAATTGGCGTATTGAAGTAACACTATCATCAAAACTGCCCATGTGCATGTGGGAGACTCACAGAAACATGTATGGCTTACATAGCGATGTCGTTATTTCAGTGAATCAATAAAAAATTACCAAATCAAATTATATGATGGGACTAAGTCATATTTCAAGGTTGTTTGTGTTGATAAAATATAAGTTACAACCATGATTTTTGTTTGCCAACGTTACAGCCATACTGCGCTTAAATTACTATACACAGTGCATAGTGTGTATTAAATGCACAGAAGAACAATAATAAATGACTAGAATATACAAATGCGCAGTTCTGACAAAATCAACTAAAACTAAATAAAATTTTGCTTCTGACACAACTTGATATTGATTTCAGGAGAGATGTTGACTTACCTGTGTGACATCGTCTGAATGTGATTCTTTGTAGGCGCCTAGGAGATTGGTAGATCTACAATCCCTGTCAAGCGAGAGATAACGCACATTATTATCGGGTATAAACACATTATCTCTACCGTTGTACATCAATATAATAACATTCCGAAAGATGAAAAGATCCCCAGGAAGGTCATTAATGATATTTATCAAACATAGAAATAAAAATCACTAATATTTTGGATATGATTCAGTGTTTTCAAAATGCACAGATATCTCGGTAATATTTTCACGCTGTGGCGTAACTTATGTATGCACACTATATATTCCTTAATGTTTCCAATGTTGTTGTACGACTGTTTATAGCCAAATGCAGAACCATTTAATTTCTACTGCTATATTTCACAAAGTTGTGTGATAGTCACTCAATGAAATATTCACTGTTACAAAATTTAGCAAACTTCTGCATAAATAAAGCACATACCGTTACAGTCTATTTTGTTATAACATTTGATCATGATTTCCACTTGCCCATGATCAACAAAACCTGAGCAATTAAACTTAAAAGTTCGCTAACACACGTCTTTAGGAACTTTGCCAAATTATTCTTTGTGATTGGCTGTTTTGAAGAAAAAACTTGTTTATGAACGTCAAATACTGTAAAACATGTTGAAAAAGCGGCATGCAATTTTAGCGAATTGTGGTAAAATGACGTAATAGCAAAATGTTGATTTAGCGCATCTCTCTTGCCATTGTTGCTTTCTTTGTTTGGCTGCCATTTTGAATCGATAATAAAGTCATTAGCGACATCTTGAATTAGCGAATCAATTGTCTCGCTAAATTCATGAAAAAGACATGCTCGCGAAAAAGACATGCATGTATTTTCAAATCTGAAATGGCTGCCAAAATAAGGTTAAACAGAATAGGAAAATAGCAGTCATAATTGTTTTCATAGAGACAAATTTGGGTACCTCAAATTTTATTTGCTCTGTCATTTTTTTGATGGCACTTGGCAAAATATTAAGAATTTGATGTAATTTGAAATTTTTATTTACCGTACACTAGTTTGCCAAGGTACATGTACATGTAATTTGTCAATAACAATTGCAAGAATTGTGAGATGCCCCTAAATAATTTTGAAATGTCCTTAGTTTGTTATTATTAAATTACAAAATATACCGAACGCATAAATCAATTTAAAGAGAGATTAACAAAAACATTCATGACAAAATCTATGGATATAATTTACCAGAATCCCTGATAATTCAATAGAATAATAAAAACACCATAAATATGTGCATTTAGCCCAAAAAGAGAATCTAACAAAGTTGATTTGTTATGACGTTAACTTAAATAGTAATTCAATCACCGCACAACTACTAAAGGCACTCAAAAATAAAACGAATAACACTAAAGCTGGCAATAAAACAACATTAACGACATAATTCTAACCTTTTAAAAAAGTGTAATGTCATTTACAGCACGCAGTATTTACAGTGATGGGCATGCGCATAGGCCTATGGAGTACAGAGAAATTGTGCAGAACTGTTGTTTTTATGGAAATTTTGAAGAAACTTTCAAAAATACAGAACAGAAATTCATGTATCTTCTGTTCAACAAAAGCGCCATCCATTATTAAAGAACTGTCAAATTTCCTATTCATTTCACATGAATAATGAGACACATAGTCAAACATTGTATTTTATTTTTTAAATGAATTGAAATTTATTTTATTTTATGTTGAATATATACCAATACGTTATTCTATATTTCTTGTTATTAAATTGTTAAAGGAATAACATATTACAAGGGACAATAAAATAAAAATATTATTATTGTACGCATAATCACCTGAGAGGGAATAATAAAAACATAGCGTGCATTGTATTTGAGTGTATAGTTGTTGCAACCATTACCAGCATTACATTATAAATTGCCCTGTATTAAACAATGATTTGATCATGACATCATGTAGGTGGTTTGAATTTGATTTGACAGTGTACATTTCTTAACGCTAGAAAAAGTTATAAGAATTTATGCTCCGACATCACACAAAAATAATTGTGTCTACATTCTATGTAACGGCAGTTTACATTAAGTGGTATATGCCAGAATTGGGGTTGGGACACAGCTGATGACGTCTGTGCTCGGGAAAAATAAGCAATATATGTAGACGATGTAATTGACAATGATACTAGAATTGTTTATAATTAAAAATGGCCGATCCCGATATAGCAAGTCTCTGGGGATCATTAAGTAATTTGTGGTTATATACGCACAACATGTCAATCAAATGCGACATTGATTGATCATCAGTACACAATAAACACGCAGCCAGATGCCGGAAATGAAAATCACGATACCAGGTAATTAAGTTGCGATCTGATATCCATGTCAAGACTACAGATTCCAGCGTTTTAAAAATTTAACAAACAAGATAGAGGAAAGAAATAATGCATGCTACTTAATTGAAATTTTTTACGTGGAATCAAAGACTCAGATACTGCTAAATTAACGATATTTGTTTCCCAATAATTCAATTTATACCAGTTTTATACTCGTAATGAACACTTGTAAGTTGAACACTGAGAAAATAGAAATGAGCATGTCGCTATGGTAACTAGTATACTAATATAATATACTTCTATCAATACTTTGGTTTGAGAGTAACTGCATACATTTCTCGTATTTCACAATCTCACCATATATACTGTAAACTGCTTTAGTTTTGCCAGACAAATTTTCGGATCAGAGAAAATCGTGAAATTTTATAGCAGTGAAATTTTCCCTAGGGTTCTGTAAGTGTCAGTGACTATTCAGAATTTTGTCTTCATGAATGCCATGAATGTCACTTTACAGAATATCTCGACTAAAGGTACAGTAGAGTTTTGCGCATAAATCCTAAAACATTACCGGTAATCGCGTTTCTGTATTGATTTAATACTTGGCAATGCTGAGGGGGCTATTTCGCAGGGATAATACTTGGAAAACACAGACACAGGGAAACACGTACAGACAACATTAATAATTACGGATGTTGGACTGAGTGTTGGAGAGATGATAATCACACACTGTGGAAACTAAAAATGTATTAAGTTAATTTCACATATTTTTTGTTTTATGACATTTGGCATTCAAAACTTTAAATTTTTTCTCAAATCAGTTTCTCCAATTCTTATATATAAGCTGTTTGTTATAGACAATATATATATACATTTAACTTTTCATTAATCATATACACTAGGGCAAATACCATAGACAATTAAATGGTCTTGAAAAAAACAAAGTGATATGAATCAACCTTCATGATTGAAAAAAAAAAAAAAAAAAAAGATGCCAAGAGCAAATGAGCAAGTCAGAGATTTGTTTGATCAATTGGATGAGATATATTATACAAATGAGAAACTGATTGCATTTCCAAAAATGTCAGCGTAAACGATGTGAAAAAGAGCGATAAAACGACTGCAATTAAAGGCAAACAAATTACACTATCACAAGAGTTCATCAACCATGCGTCAAAAAGACAAGACAGGAGTATGTCAGTAGTGAGTTGAGATTGATATCGCTAAGCAATCAAAAAGATAAATATAGAAAACTCGAGGTTTTAAAAGTTGATGCAACATAATAACTGATGATAATTGCATCATGGATTATTACTTTCTGTATGCGATAACCTGTTACGATCCATGTGCCCTACAGCGTAGTTTCAACGATAACCTTGCTACAAGGCCGCACGATAACTGATTAACGACTAGGAAATAAAACACACCAGCTGAGTGTAAATAAAGTACTGGTAATGTTATAATAATTTGCATATATTTTTTTTTTAATTTTCTTAATCATCTGTTAGTTACTAGTATGAAAATGATGATTTTTGTCCTATATCACATTTTCAGGTTTTTTATGGATTACGTATTGAAGAAGGAGAACTTTTCAGTGAAAAATGTTTTCTTTACAGGTTTTGAAAGTACCTATTCCCTCTTAATGAAGTGATAGATTTTATAGGGGGTGCACCCCCTAAAATCGGCAATGAAGACATTGTAAAGTGCATATATACCAGATGGGATTTGATGCATCAATAAAAACCTGTCAAGAAACATTAAGCTGCTCTCTGATTGGTCTGACTGTTAAGCGTTAGGGTTGGGTAGCCAATCAGGTACAATATTGAGAGAAGCTTCACATTGACAAAGGCCAGACTTTTCTTATCCATTGTTTCGCGAACCCTCGAATGAACAGGAGCCGAAAATGAAATATAAATAAAATTTTATTTCAGCGTAATCTTGCACCCGCCGACTTGTAAGTGCAAAAAAATGCTAAAAAAAATTATTTTTATCTTCATTTTTTACCGCTCGCCGCATAACATATCCAAGTTGCATTTTCGTGGGAGTATCATGATCAAAGTATCGAAGTCTCGCGCAATTGAGAAACAAGGTTATACATGGAATAAAATTTTATTTCATTTCTTCTCTCCGAACAATGATGTCACTTACAGTTCTTTGAGAATCACACAAATCTAATGGAAAAAAAGAATTAATTTTATTTTTTTTCCACCCTCCACAAAACAATTGCTTTATAAAAACTAGAGAAAAGTCTGGCCTAAATGAACCTTAATTTTGGAGCCAACAGACAAAATTTGTGTTAATTTTCAGTTTTTACTCAATTTGGCTATTTTTTTTCCAATTTTCTGAAAGTGCAAACCATAAATGGGACTATTTTGGGATGAAAGGGGGAACTGGTGGTGAAGAGGTTAATTGTAGAAATACAATGATCATGTTTTTTGCTGTCTTTTAAAAAACATATATATAATATAATAATATATGCGAATATGCAAAAACAATAGATGACACTGCCCGAGATGCTGACCTAACAAGTTCTGTCGCATATTTCATTAGAATTTTTAGAAATTGGCGTTTGTTGCCCAATCTTGTGGTCACATCACAGTTCATGCGACATCAAATAGTGATCTTCATCACATACAAAGTCATTTGCATACCCTTATCTCATGTATCCTTGATTACACACATACTATAGATACAGACAGGCTGTAGTAAATGGTTACCATGGGAATGACTTATTTAATGTAAATTGATCAATTGGATGCTTCTCTAGATGACTGTATTAACTTACCAGAATATAATATATGCGTCTTCTCCTACAGACTCTGTTCCAGCACATACTATAGTATCAGTGCAATTTACATCAAAACTTGTAAATTTGTTGCCAGGGTAACCTGAATGCAGAATTCAAAAGATTAACTGTCAGTTTATATCACTAGAATAGAATTCATGTTCCGGCAGTGAGTCATCAAATTAAAAAAAAATAAAGAATTTTAGAATTATCATCAAATATAACAAGTCAATGTTAAGAAAATAGTCCCCATATATAAATGTAGTTGATGTGTGATGTATGTGTGAAGTTTAAACTTGATTGGCTTGTATGAGATACGGGCTCAGTGGATCTGCATGCATCTTTTAAACAAGATAACTATCACTCACTGCAGTCCAATTTGGCAACTGCAGCAGTCACATTTGGACACTTGCAGTAATCACATTTGGACACTTGCAGTAATCATATTTGGATACTGCAGCAGTCATATTTGGACACTGCAGCAGTCACATTTGGACACTGCAGCAGTCACATTTGGACACTGCAGCAGTCACATTTGGACACTGCAGCAGTCACATTTGGACACTTGCAGCAGTCACATTTGGACACTTGCAGCAGTCACATTTGGACACTTGCAGCAGTCACATTTGGACACTCGCAGTCACATTTGGACACTCGCAGTCACATTTGGACACTCACAGCAGTCACATTTGGACACTCACAGCAGTCACATTTGGACACTCACAGCAGTCACATTTGGACACTCACAGCAGTCACATTTGGACACTCACAGCAGTCACATTTGGACACTCACAGCAGTCACATTTGGACACTCACAGCAGTCACATTTGGACACTCGCAGCAGTCACATTTGGACACTTGCAGCAGTCACATTTGGACACTCACAGCAGTCACATTTGGACACTCACAGCAGTCACATTTGGACACTTGCAGCAGTCACATTTGGACACTTGCAGCAGTCACATTTGGACAGTTGCAGCAGTCACATTTGGACATTTGCAGTAATCACATTTGGCAACTGTGCAGTCACATTTGGACAGTTGCAGCAGTCACATTTGGACACTCACAGCAGTCACATTTGGACACTCGCAGCAGTCACATTTGGACACTCACAGCAGTCACATTTGGACACTTGCAGCAGTCACATTTGGACAGTTGCAGCAGTCACATTTGGACAGTTGCAGCAGTCACATTTGGACATTTGCAGTAATCACATTTGGCAACTGTGCAGTCACATTTGGACACTTGCAGCAGTCACATTTGGACACATTCAGCAGTCACATTTGGACACTCACAGCAGTCACATTTGTACACTTGCAGTAGTCACATTTGGCAACTGCAGCCAGTCACATTTGGCAACTGCAGCAGTCACATTTGGACACTTGCAGCAGTCACATTTGGACACTGCAGCAGTCACATTTGGACACTCACAGCAGTCACATTTGGACACTCACAGCAGTCACATTTGGACACTCACAGCAGTCACATTTGGACACTCACAGCAGTCACATTTGGACACTCACAGCAGTCACATTTGGACACTTGCAGCAGTCACATTTGGACACTTGCAGTAGTCACATTTGGCAACTGCAGCCAGTCACATTTGGACATTTGCAGCAGTCACATTTGGACATTTGCAGCAGTCACATTTGGACACTTGCAGCAGTCAAATTTGGACACTTGCAGTAATCACATTTCAACACTGAAAGCAGTACACACATGTCCACATATTTAGTCACTTGCAACTTGCACATTTCAACACCTGCAATTTGTCATAGTCCTCATCGCCCAATTGCAATCATGTTATCAGTAGCTTAAAGTCACACGTAAAACTATACCTGAGCAGCAGTCACATTTGGACACTCACAGCAGTCACATTTGGACACTTGCAGCAGTCACATTTGGACACTCACAGCAGTCACATTTGGACACTCACAGCAGTCACATTTGGACACTCACAGCAGTCACATTTGGACACTCACAGCAGTCACATTTGGACACTCACAGCAGTCACATTTGGACACTCACAGCAGTCACATTTGGACACTCACAGCAGTCACATTTGGACACTTGCAGCAGTCACATTTGGACACTTGCAGCAGTCACATTTGGACAGTTGCAGCAGTCACATTTGGACATTTGCAGTAATCACATTTGGCAACTGTGCAGTCACATTTGGACAGTTGCAGCAGTCACATTTGGACACTCACAGCAGTCACATTTGGACAGTTGCAGCAGTCACATTTGGACACTCACAGCAGTCACATTTGGACACTCACAGCAGTCACATTTGGACACTCACAGCAGTCACATTTGGACACTCACAGCAGTCACATTTGGACACTCACAGCAGTCACATTTGGACACTTGCAGCAGTCACATTTGGACAGTTGCAGCAGTCACATTTGGACAGTTGCAGCAGTCACATTTGGACATTTGCAGTAATCACATTTAGCAACTGTGCAGTCACATTTGGACACTTGCAGCAGTCACATTTGGACACTGCAGCAGTCACATTTGGACACTTGCAGCAGTCACATTTGGACACTTGCAGCAGTCACATTTGGACACTTGCAGCAGTCACATTTGGACACTCACAGCAGTCACATTTGGACACTCACAGCAGTCACAGTTGGACACTGCAGCAGTCACATTTGGACACTGCAGCAGTCACATTTGGAAACTGCAGCAGTCACATTTGGAAACTGCAGCAGTCACATTTGGAAACTGCAGCAGTCACATTTGGACACTGCAGCAGTCACATTTGGAAACTGCAGCAGTCACATTTGGAAACTGCAGCAGTCACATTTGGACACTGAAAGCAGTACACACATGTCCACATATTTAGTCACTTGCACATTTCAACACCTGCCATTTTTCATAGTCCTCATCACCCATCTCAATCACATGTTATAAGTAGCTTAAAGTCACATGTAAAACTATACCTGTGAAAACTTGTTGTGCTTTGCTTTTCTTTGCTCTGACATCCCAGCACCTACATGGAAAATAAGCATGACAAGAAATTGCTACAATTTGCATATATACATGTAGTTATAATCAAGGAATTTTAGACTATATGTCCAACAGTGGTAATGTGATCTATTAATAATTAGCATATTAACATGCAGATTAATTATAAAAAAAATCAATCACAATGTACAGAGAGAGTGGAACATGGATACTGGATGTTGTCTTTTAAAATCAGTTAATATGCAAATTAGCTACTTAGTATTCATATATATTATTCAGGTAATGAATTCAATTCAAATTTTTGTGAAATTATATTTGCACTATACATGACATGGGTTGAGACAACAATACATTATCTTCCACTTTATACATGTACACATACACTGAAAAAAAATCTTAGAATTCAGAAATAGATTCAAGAATTCATATTATTGAAGAAACAAAGATAGGACCAATCTATTTTATTTTAAATTATTGTTTATTTGTGAATATTTTTTTAAGTTTGGTAATCATGAAAGCCCACTGTATTTAAAGTTAAATAACGTAAAATAAGATATAAGAAATTTTTGAAAAATAGCTAAAACAACAACCAAAGCCATAGATTACATAAGATTGCGATTGACCCTACCAAGGAACAGAGCATTTCTAATAATATTATTATTCTTTAATTGAAATGACTGCACAGTAATTGAAGAGCACAAAGTTCCTGTTTTGTCATTTTAATAGGAAACAACTTCTATTATTTATTTCCACAGAAGATAATACTAATAATATCTTTGATTTTTCCATTACATTTTGTGTTGTGTCTCAATTGTGCTCTGTATAAAAGGAACAGACTTTCATACCAAGCAAGAATTCAGACATATTAGACTTCAGACATTTGTAATTTATATGTATTCTATAGTTTTTGTTGATTAAAGATTAAACAAAATGTGAACATAATAAAACAACTACATTTTTTTGATGTGTTGACTATCAACATCATATGTCAAATATTTTTTAGAGACATGTCGATGTTTTTATTACGACAAAATATCAAATTAAAATAAAAATGGTATTGTTTGTGGTATGAATAGACGTTTCTTGAAGAAACACTTTTACAATTCTGAATTTTGAAATTTTGAAATGATTTGATGATAAAAATAATAACTTGGAAAAGGTTGGTTAAGCTACATAGGAAATGTGTCATATATTAACTAGAGACGTTTGCTGT